CTCTCTAATGAATGTAAGCCTGCAATAGCTACAATAACGGAAATAATGACAATAGAAAAAAAGCAAGGGGAACCAGATCAATATAATTTTCAGGGGCGTTTCTAAGGCTTTTGATAAAGTTTGGCATTTGGGCTTAAAATATAAAATTTTAAAATTGGAACTTAACGAACCTGGCAGGCCTCTCCATACAGTGTACCTTTAGACTAACACAACTAACACTTAACTAACACATTAGCAAAAAAAAAAAAAACATGACAACCCTCCCAGCCACACAAGGACCTGGGAGGGCTCACTAACTCAATCACAGTAAAAAAAAGTGAAAAGTATAATAAGCAGCACTATATAAATAAACCAATACTAATACAAAGGTCTGACGACCCAAAAGAGCAAAACAAAGATAAAAAAATAAAAAAGATGAAGCAATCTGGTTGAGCCCAGATTCTTTCTACTCCTACTGTATTTAAGTTTCATCACTTTTCTTCAATCCTTAATAATCTTCTTTCACCTCATAACTCATGACTCTAAAGCCAAACTTTACAGTCCTGGTGTTCTACGAAGACGTCAAGGTGATCCGGTTGCGCCCGGTTGAAGAAACCTGCCCAAAACTACTCAACTTCCTCTTCCTTAAAGAGTTTTTAACTCTGAAGGGATCGAGGGAATCATCAAGGGTGAACGGTGACCTAAAAATCACCTTCGCTGAATATGGCCAATTCCCTCAACTGCCGCAAATCATCGACATCAACGGCATACAAGTAGAAAGGATTGTCCACCTAGGGTACAACTTGATGCTGAGAGTGATCTCCCACCCTGAAATAGCATTTATGGACTCAGAAGAAATCAACGAACTTCTCAAGGGACAACTCTGCTGTCTAAAGAAGCTGTCAGAATCAACTGCCCTTGTCAGACACCATGAAACGTTACCCAAAGAGGCTCAACTGGCCTGGGAAACCGTGCTAGTGAAGCCCTTCTGCAGACCCAAATGTGCTATAAATGCCAGCGTTACGGACACACCGCCACCAAGTGCAAGGCTCAGGAGGATGTGTGCTCCAAGTGTGGAAACACCGGGCATCGCTACACCTCCTGCCCCAACCAAGAGAAGAAATGCTATGTCCCACGTGGCGTGAGCAGTGCAAGATAGCGAGGATCCGCCGAGAAGCTCCTGCAGGACTTGAAGCAGAAGAGGGAGGAGTCAAGGAGAAACGGGGACGGGTGTTCATGGGTTATATACAGGGGGAGGGTAGCGGAAGCAAGTGTGCCGACACAGGTCCAAGGGGCAGCAGCGCACCCCCCACCCGCTCTACCCCCACCCGGGAGGTGGCACCAGCTCCGCCTACCATACAGGATGAGGCGAGGCCGTGTAAACAATGACATTTCTAACCACACCCTGCAAAATACAGTGTACTTAGCAAATGCTGCAGCTTCTGAGAATGTGGGTGGAGCGGGTTTATTACTAAGAGCAGAGACGTTACCGAGAACAAATTCTGGCTTGAATGTCATGTACACTAATACTGACACGTTCCTTGATAAGAGAGAGGAGTTTGAAACACTACTAAGAGTACACCAACCAGATATTGTAGGAGTTGTAGAACTGTTGTACAAGAACAGGAGAATCGACCCAGAGGAATGTGAGTTCAGTATTGCTGGATATGACTCATTTACGAACCTAACTCAAGAATCCTGCAGGAGGGGTGTGGTTATCTATGCTAGGCAAGACCTTGGAGCCAGCCAGGCGAGGGTACAGGGAGAGGATGTTTTTGAAGAGTCCAAGTGGTGTAAAATTAAACTAAAGGGAAGGGACTTACTTATTGTCAGGTGTATCTACAGATCCCCAAACTGTGGCCCACTAAATCAGAGGAACTTAAGAGCCTTAATACACAATGCGACGATGCTCAACCCTAGCCACCTCCTTATTATGGGGGACTTTAACTATGGCGACATCGACTGGAGAAACGAGTTCACCCCAAGTGACTTGAATAACCCTGCTATCTTTTTGTAGAAACTCTGAGAGATAATTTTCTGTTCCAACATGTTAGAGACCCGACACATTACAGAGGAGAGCAAACACCCAAGCCACTAGACCTCATCATAACAAACGAGGAGGGTATGGTGGCCAAACTGGAATACCTTGCCCCAGTTGGCACCAGTCACCATATAGTGTTGTCATTCAGATTTAACTGTTACCTAGTTCAAGATAAGGCCAGGCCAAGGTGCAAATATTACAGGAGAAATTACAACGGGATGAGGGAAGGGATGAGGGGTATCCACTGGCCTGACTCATTAAGGCACAAGAACGCAGACACTACGCTGAATATCATAACTAGTAAAGTGACCCATTTGATCGATAAATACATACCCAAGACCAAACCCAGTGCCTCTAGGAATACGAGGGGATCCCTACACATCAACCATGTGGCGGTCGACAAAGTTAAGAAGAAAACCCAGAAATTCAAGACGTGGGTTGGGTCAAGCGATGAGCAGGACAGGAGGATGTATGCAAGAGCCAGAAACCAAGCAAAGATAGAATGTAGAAGGGCTGAAAAGGAGTTCCAGAGGCTGGTTGCAAGCGAGGTCAAGTCAAACCCAAAGGCGTTTTACCACTATGCAAAGTCGAAATTAAAAACGCGAGTATGAGTATCAGACCTGAGGCTTGAAGATGGTAGTTACGCAGATTCTGACCAGGATAAAGCTGAGGCATAGAACAGCTTCTTTTCCTCAGTGTTCACAAGAGAGGATGCAACTAACCTTCCTGCGTTTGATGACAGACGGTTCGACACAGCACTGACCCACATTGTGTTCCCAGAAGAGGGTATTAGAAATAAACTGTCAAAGTGAAGGTTCATAAGAGTCCCGGCCCTGACATGGTGCATCCTAGAGTGCTAAGAGAGTTGAGCAACGAGCTTGCCGAGCTCCTGAATATCCTGTTTTGTAAATGCTTGGATGAACGAAAGGTCCCCAGTGAATGGAAAATGGCTTATGTGAGTCCTATCTTCAAGAAGGGCGATCGTCACTCCACGAACAACTATAGACCGGTGAGCCTGACCAGCATAATATGTAAAGTATGTAAAGTACTTGAGAGTATTATCAGAGATGCCGCGATGGAACATCTACTACGAAACAACCTTGTAAAGGATTGCCAACCCGGTTTTATGCCGGGGCGCTCCTGCTTAACACAATTGCTCAAGGTATTGGATATTTGGACCCATACTCTGGAACGGGGTGGTAATATCGACAATATTTACCTAGATTTTGCCAAGGCTTTCGACAGTGTACCCCACGAAAGGATGAAAAATCAAACTGGAAGGGTACGGAATTCGGGGAAATGTACGAGCGTGGATAGAAGACGTTGCACATGACCGCAAGCAGTGTGTGGTGATTAATGGCACGAAATCATCATCCGTGCCTGTCACAAGCGGGGTACCACAGGGCAGTGTATTGGGCTCGCTGTTTTTTGTTTGTTTCATAAATGACATGCCTGGCGTTGTACACTCCTCCATATAAATGTTTGCCGATGACGCCAAGTTATTTCGGGAAATCAAGAGCCAAGCGGACTGTGAAGAGCTGCAGAAGGACCTCTGTGGGCTCCAAGAATGGTCGAAGAAATGGCTGCTGAGATTCAATGTCACGAAGTGTAAGAGGATGCACCTGGGGCGTACCAACGGTAAGGAGGCGTATCATATGTCCCAACGGGATGAAGAAACTGCACTATTTGAGACTGAATGTGAGAAGGACCTAGGTGTGTATGTTGACAATGAGCAGAAGCTCTCGGGCCATTGCTAAAAGAAGATAAATCAAGCAAATAAATTATTGGGTCTTATAAGAAGGTCGTTCAGATATCTAGACGGTCCGTCCCTCGTAACGATCTTCAAGAGTGAAGTGCTTCCCCATCTGGAGTACTGTCACCCCGCCTGGTCCCCGAGATGTGCTAGGGACTGTCAGTTGGTTGAAAATCTTCAAAGGAGGGCCACCAGACTGGTGCCTGCCCTTCGACACCTCAGCTACCCTGAGAGATTGGAGCTCCTGAACTTGCCTAGCTTATACTACAGACGGGCAAGGGGTGACCTAATAGAGGTGTATAAGCCCCACAAGGGGTCACAGCTCAAGATTGAAGAAGCCGCAAGTCCAGAACACTGTGAGGGCAAACTTTTTCGGAGTGGGAGTTGTGAACTCTTGGAACAATCTACCAGAAAGTGTTGTGACGGCACTGAGTGTGAGCTCTTTCAAGATTTGACCAACACTGGAGCGAGTTCATTTACATTCAGGAGCCGGTACATGCCCAGTACTTGCCAACAGTGCGTAACAGAGACGTGACCGATCGCCCAAGCGGCTAACGAGCTGATGTTTTGGTGAAGAGGATAAAAGAAAAGGAAAATTAATCAGAGACGTGACCGATCGCCCAAGCGGCTAACAAGCCGATCAGTGGTGAAGTGGATAAAGAAGAAAAGAATTGGTGCAAATGAGGAGGCAGAAATTCAATCATATCGGGAAACCTGAGACATTATTTCCCACATCCCAACTTTACCTTCCTCCTACACAGTCTTCCATCTTCAAAGCAAAAGGCTCTCTTCTCCCCATCTTATCAATATCATCACTCCTAACCTTAGTCTGTACTCACCCCTGAAGATGTGAATTACACGAAAGCGCTTGGGAACTTTGTGTTTTCTTCTTTCCTTGTGGTTATCAGCATATACCTAGATCACGCGCACCTACAGTGATTTACTTGCATATATATATATATATATATATATATATATATATATATATATATATATATATATATATATATATATATATATATATATATATATATATATATATATATATATATATATATATATATATATATATATATATATATATATATATATATATATATATATATATATATATATATATATATATATATATATATTGCACAGACTCAGACTGGTAAGTAAGGTATACTAAGCATTGTTTACCTTATCATTCCTGAATTCTGGGACGACAACACAGGATCAGAGGTCCACCAGCTGTGACGTTTGCCGCTCTTGTTGTGTACGTCATGTTAGGTTTCCTTGAAGCCCGGACATAACAGCTATTCTGGAAGCATAATTTGACTCGAGATTTTTCTGTTTTGCAGTATGGGGCAGGTTACACCAACCTACCGTCAGAACAGTTATATTGAGAATGTTATTGTAGTGACGGGATGCCGTACCTGGAAGGCGAACATCTTGGTAAAAACATTTTGGGGGAATTTTGTTGTCGGATGTATATTATTAAGTGCTTTAAGCATTCAGGTTGCAGAGGGATCATCACCAGCTCGCGTACCAGAAAGCTTGGCACTTAGCCGTAGCAGTAACAGAGTTCATGTGGATAAACGGGAAGCACAAGTAACAGGACAAGATGAAAAAGTGGGATCTCATTCCAGTCCTGGAGAAACAGATACTCGTTCAGCAGAAGCACCACCTCAAAAGGAAGCAGGAATGAATCATGTAACAACAGAGGGCAAGAAATCCACAGTACTTACAACGGAGGATGGAACGGGAGCAGAGGGTCAGACATTACAAACTGAGAATACAAATGACAAAACAGGGTCTGCTGACAAGGAAAGTCCAGGTAGGCTAAATGGGGAAACCCAATCAATCCATCTTTCATTAAACGTAGTGGATATTTTGACATGACCGGCTAAGTTTCTACTAACATTATTTTAATGTGAGTGCGCTCTGATTGGCTAGGTACTTAATGTTTAATATGATGGGGCGTCCACCCCCCCAGCTAAGGAATTAGGTAAGGTTCCTTAGGTGTCTTTGGCTGGTTAGGTCAGGTTCTAGTAAATGTCACCTCTTTTATAATGATAAGTTGGTAATATTTGAGTTAACAGCAACCACAGAATTCCGGAAATTCATTACACTCAATCAATAGAACTATTTTTTCTATGATTATTTTTATATATTACTTTAGGTTAGGTTAGGTAACACATTTTTTTATCAGAATCTTTGATTGTTGTTATCTGCAATTTTACCGATAAGTTTCCTTGCACAACAGAAATATGGCTAAGTATGTTTATAGCTACACAACGATCGTTTCACCGCAACATAAATGCCAAATGCCGCCAGAGTCACGGTCAAATACACTTTCGCATTCTTCGCCGGTAATGGACAATGAGCCAATCAGAGCAAACCCATGGTAAAATAGCATTAGTAGGAACTTCGCCAGTTGCGGGAAAATATCCGCTGCCTTCATTAAATTATCTTCTGTTGGCAGTATGCGAAAGGCTAATATGTAACAACAGGTCCAGATTATCCTGCCACCTAACAAAATATCACTATACAGGTAGAAGAAACCTTGTTGGTAATGCCTGAACACAGTACTACAACCAGGAGGAGTTGTTCGATTTCGTTCATTTTTTCCACAGATGTTCTTCTCATTATACAGGTAGTAAGTATTTTAAAAGAGGTGACATTTAATAGAACCTAATAAAACCTGACCTCACCAGCCAAAGAAACCACCTAACCTTACCTAACTAACTGGCTGGGGGGGGCAAACCGCTGCCATATTAAACAGAAAGTACTTTTTCAGATACCTGGTACCAATTAAAGAAACATTGTTGGAGGATCATGTGTAATTCTACGTTTTTTGTGGATGTGAGAGCACGCTTGGACCGAGCGGGCCGGTTGTAAACAAACGGATGATGCATGGTGACTCGGCAGATATTTTGGATGATTGTTTATTGTAAATGATTAATTTTTTCTGTTACTACATTTTCATCAGTGAGTTTTTATATGATAATCATTTCTTGGGCAAATGTTTCGTTTTGTAGATAATTAGGCAGCTAGGCACACACTACTTTGTCTTTCTCAGTGGTGATGCCACTTACTGGATGTAAACACCTAATCATATTGTTGTATTTCAAAACACTCGGCCTCGCTCTGCTGGCTCCCCAATCAACTCCTACGATCAATGTATGCTTATGATGTACGCTTTTGAGTTGTTCGGTCTGGGCGGCTGTGCTCATATCCACAAAAACATAAAACTATACCATTTCATAGAAAGTTCTTTGGGGGGTCTAGGGGGGGAGCCCCACAGCTAGGAAGTTACAGTAGGTAAGGTTAGGTTAGGTTGGTTTCTTTGGTTAGGTTGGTGAGGTCCACTATAAAACACAGTGAAATTGCGGCATTTTAAAAATAATTTCCTATTAAAAATCGGCTGCGGGTCAGTCATCAATAATTACCATTTCTTCGCATACAAAGCACGTAGAGACATCATTTAGTGTCATATGATCAGTTTTCATCATGTTTTACCCCACAATTTCCCTCATTATTTATGCCCTGCTCACTACAGGTGATTTATGATCTCAGATTAAGGGAAAAAATATACTGATAATTAAAATAAAAAGTTGTCATCTCTTTTAAAAGACATACTGTACTAAGTACTTCTGAGGAAAAAATTTACTAAATTGAACAACTCCTGATGGTACTGTAGTGGTGTTCTCATAAATTACCACCTTATTTCTTAGTTAAAGGTGAAGGAGATGGTTTAGCGCCACAAATACCTTATGGGATTGAACCAAAATTCTGGAGATACGTTCTATTTCCATGATAGTGAACACAAAAATGGAAACGAGAATGAACAGAACCAGACCTAACCTTACCTAACTTGCTAGCTGGGCCCCCCGGCATATTAAGCAGAAAGAACTTACAGTACTTTGATATCTGTTACCAATGAAAGCAGCTACTGTATCTTGAAGCAGCATCATGTAATTGTGTGTTTTTTTCTTCTTTTTGACATGAGAGTACAATCTGTTATTGCACTAAACATTTCTTCTTCACCATCGGTTCTCTGCCGCATTTTAAACACTTGCACGTCCTGCCAACTAGTCCATGTTAACCGATAATTTCTTGGTGATTGTTTTCATCCTTCACAAGCACAGATAAATAACTGTTATATTTATTTAATGGCTGCGGCAAGATTTTTATATTTGGTTATTCTAGGATTAATAACAAAATTACGAATAGGTTTGGTTATGTTAGATTTCAACAGTGATTTGTAAGCTGAAATTGTTGTGAGAATAGTTCTATTGTTTGTGTACTGTACTTAGGTTTGTTTTATTCCAATCTGACCTTCATTTCTTGTGGAAATGAGTGAATTTAAAAAAAATAAAAAAATAATATTTTTTTTACAAAATTCGCTCATTTGCCCAGGTTTGAGTAAGACACATCTAATTACACACAAAAAAAGAAAAAAATATATCACAAAAAGGGGCCACAGCCATCAAATGAATACAGTGAACCCACACCCAATGCTGGTTTCTCCAACGCGATTTTTACTATACACGTTTAAATATGTGACCAAATAATTTGCCCAACACAGAAAATTTGAATACAGGTACAGTGACCCCTCCGTTAATGAACTCAATCCGTTCCAGAAGGTCGTTCATTAACCGAAACCATTGTTTCAATGGGTTTTTGGGTAATTGGTTCCAGCTCACCGAAAATTTCCTAAATTCAACAAAAATGGTAGAAAAGTTCACTTACTTTGAGGTGTGTATGTAGAAGGCTCCTGGATGATGATGATGATGATGGGATTTAGAATGGGGGCGGAGGAGAAGGAAGAAGAGAAGGCATTGGGGTGGAAGAGAAGTCACCCCATGGCGCCATTTCACCCATAAAATTTTAGTTCTCTTGGTGTAATTCAAGATTATTTTCTTTAAATCAACACTGCACTGCATTATATATTGTCAATATGTAAAATATATTTCAAAATGACCAATAATTTGCTTGGAAACACAGAAAAAAGCATTTAGTTGAAGAGAGTCTCAAGCAAGATGTTACCTCCAGTGAAAACAGAGAGAGACTAACGCCTGTTTGCTGTGTTAAGAGGCTGGATGCCGCGCATTAAACTAGTCACTTTACCTTCAATTATGTTCAGTAATTGTTAAAATGACTAAAAAATTGAATATTAAACTTTTAAAATATTGAATAGTATAAACTTCTTGATATTTACTAAAATAGTAAGGAATTTAAGCCCTAGAACCAATTAATGTATTGGCGGACTGATACTAAAGCTGGTTGCCCGGTCAGTGCAAGCGAAAACATGTTGAGGTCGGTTCGTAAGAACTTCGTTAACTGAATTGAAGATCCTTATGGAAGGCAGTGCGTTAATCGAAATTACGTTAACCGACGTGTTCGTTAAACGAGGGGTCACTGTACAAGCGATTTAACAACACGCCGCCTCCGCCTTTCTCTGCCTTAGCCACGCTCCAGTTGGAGATACCCGACAGTCTAGCTTATATGCTAGTACCGTTAATGTAAAGGCTGTAACGAGCGGGATGGTTGTCTGCCGCTCGTTTGCTTGTTCGCGGCCTCACTAGGGGGGTAGGCGGAGGTGAGAAGGTCGCTGCTGCCTCGTCGCACACCAGACACGATCCAGCCTTCACCACAGCTGTTACTTCACCCCGCTGTTCTATTCCAACTCTGAGGTTCCTGGGGCTCTTGGGCTGATTCCCCAGTTCTTCACTATTCGGCTGTCAACTCCGGTCACCTACTCCAGCTACTGCCGCGGCTGCCACGTGATCGCAACTTCCTCCATGCCCTATCCACTGTCCGTGCCCTGGCGTCTCTCCTGTGTGGCAAGACATCCGCCACCAATGCCGGCGCCAAGTGAGGAAGCTGCCCTGGACCTTCCCCCTGAGAGCGGATCACCACGTTACCAGAACATTCCACCGGGCTGGTTAGGAGGAAGATTCATCTGCATTCATCTGCAGCCGTAGGAAATATCTGTACTGTATTTTGTTGTATTGATTGTTTTGTTTTAAGTAATTGTTTGACTCCAGTGCTGTTTATTTTATATTTGTGTGAGTGGTGTCAGAGTTAAATTATTGTGATTATTTTCGTAGTAAAGAGATGTCAATCTCTAACGGTTGTTTGTTAACCCTTGGAAACCCATGGTTCTTGACTTTCCTTTTTATAAGCTCCTGATTAGGTGGGCAAAGGATTTATATCCCAAAGGCCAGGCCTTTACAGTTAACATTGTACTAAAGCGGTTTTGGAACTTTTTGTGTTTTTGCGTTGCTTTCTGTGTTTGCCCTTGCAGTATGGCCCCAAACGCTGAGGTGATGCTAGTGATGGTAGCACACCCAAGAAAATAAAGTGATGACATTAGCCAAGAAAATGAAGATTTTAGATCGGCTACACGATGGGGCGCATGTAGCAATGCTTGCCCCTAAGAATTCTGTAAATGAATCCACCATATGCACGATTCGTAGTTGTGAGGACAAAATATTTGCAAGTACGAAATCATCTGCTTCTCTTAGTGCTAAGGTGGCCCAAGTACCAAGGAGGGATCGATACTTAGAAAAGGTGGGAAAAATTATTAAATGTTTGGATCAGCGAACAAGTGAATGAGAAAGGATCGGTTGTCGATAGCGCAGCAATCCGTGAGGAAGCTTGTAGCTTGTATGCTCATGTTGTGAAAACTGGGGGGTGGGGAGTGATGCTGCAACTGTGGCTGATTTCCATGCAAGCAAAGGGTGATTTGAAAATTTTAAATGCTGCTTTGCTTTACATAATGTGAAGCTTCAGGGAGAGGCTGCAGAGCACTTCAAGCCCATGCTGCTC